TACAGCTACGACTCCTAGGACCTACGAAGACCTCCAAACAACAGGTCTACAGATCGAACCCCTAACACCTACGGACCCTAGGACAGTCTACCAACTGTTACAATACAAATACACAGGTCATGGTTCAACTACGGGGTCGACACAGATACTGTACACAGGTAGGGTGAGGACTAGTAAGGACTAGGGGATCGAGGCCTGGGATCTGCGTCGGCTACTGCGAACAGGTGAATACCGTTTCATTTTTGAAAAGTCATTTTCTGGGCAAAAAAGCATGAAATTAAGGGGGAAACCACGCTCAAAAACCAAAAACCAAAAAGAATTTTTTTTTTACACATGTATCCGGACCTCGTATCAGTCCAGATACATCCAGGGGATATTTTCAGAAGACGTACCCTCAATTTCATGCGTTTTTTTCCCCCCAAAAAATGACATTTCAATTTCGTTCAAAAAATATAGTATGTCCGTTTCAACCAAATTTCTATTAAAATTGGAACGAATCACAGAGAGAACCCCTGCAAGCATAGGGCCTCGCAAACGAGGTAAATCATGTTGCCCCCTTCCCCCCCCAGCACACACACAAACAGCCGTAGACAGAGATGGGGTGGGGCCTCTGTCGAGGGTCCGGTTAATGCAAAGACCGAGCATTTTGCCAGTAGCTGCGCCTCCCTTTCTCATCTCCCCCGCCCTCATCGAGTAGCACCAGAGGCTATGGCCAACACTCTCCCAGACACTGCACACAACCCACTCGCGCTCACACTCACACTCATATTGGTCATAGACCGGCGCTAATACCAATAAGGGGTATCCTCCGTTGGCAATAAGGGATACCCTTCGTTAGCACTAAGTGCGCTGCAGGTGGTGATGGGGCTCGAACCCGCCACCTCCTGAATGCCACTTGCGTGCCTAACCAACTGAGCTAGCATCCCCCTGGGCAAGGATGACACGCAGAAATCCAGAAATGGGCCATATTACGTAAAATAATGAGAAAAAAAAATGGCACGATAAAAGGCCTCACGGGCTGATCAGCACGGACACTGCGCAAGCATGCGATGCATGAAATTCATAAATGAAGAAACACCGACGACAGGGCCGTACGGAACTCTGTGCAACCAACTGGTCTAGCTCAGAAGGTAAACCCACCAACTGTTGAAAAAAAGACCCAGGTCTAAATCCAGATACAATAAGATGATGACCAAAATAAATCATCAAAAACAAAGAAAATGACGATATCCCAAGGTCGTCGTCATTTGGAAAACAAAAAAGAGAGGAGGAAAAAAAAAAAGAAAAAAAAAGCCGGCATGAAAGCTGTATGAGGGTGCAAAAGAGAGAGAAACAGGGTAATGCACCTAGCCCGGGCTTTATGTGGGGAGACCGGCCCCATTTCTGTTGTTCAATGAGGAATTATAATCTGTTTTTCAAAACGATAAAAAAAAAAAAAAAGAGAGAGAAAAACAAAATGAAAAGAAGGAGACAAAGGAGCGTGATGCATATTTAAAAGCGATCTTTCGCCGTCCCCGATACAGACCTGACGAGGGTGCGTTCTATTCGGGAGATCGCACCCTGAATGTATAGGATATAGTCATGAGAGCGGATCAATCACCTTGGTGGAATGTATCGGTCAGCTCAGCGCTCTTCTTCTCCCCTCCCCTTCTTCTTCTACTTCCCGTTCTTCATCTTCTCCCAGCTAACCACCAATCACCACGGTAACCTGTCGATAGCGACAGCGGCACTCCTACTTCTCTCATTCTCCATCTGTTCCCGGTTGGCCACCAATCACGATCATGGTGAAACGTCGTCTATCCGATAATCGGCAAGCTCGAGGCTCTGTGCGTGCGTGCGTCCGTCCGTGTGTGTGTGTGTGTGTGTGTGCGTGTGTGTGAGTGTGTGTGTGTGTGTGTGTGTGTGTGTGTGTGTG